TTCACTTAGGGACTAGATTGTGTGAAAAATTGTATCTTAAATACTGGAAGTCTACAACAACAATCCAAAGCAACAGGAGGCTTTTATGGTCTGAGAGACGCGGGAACTGAGATGCAGGAGAGGGACAGGGCTCACATCTCTCAGCTCATTTTCACTCTGGAGCATTCAGCAGAGTCATATGAAATCCCTAACTAACGATCCCTTCCTCTCTCCCACCTTCACCTTCTCCTTTACCTCTGCCTTCTCCCTTATTTGAATTCCAGCCAATTAAATTCTAGTTTGATGCAGTTCATCTAGAATATACACATCAGAGTTGTTGCAAGAATTAAATGAAATAATACACCTGTGACAGCCCTGAGATATGCCACTTAAAGACCCTTCAAGAGAGACCCTGCTGCAAGGAGCCTAGTGATCTAAGAGCCCTCGGCTACAACACCTTCAGAATCCAATGCAGGGTCCACGCTGAGGTCCTGCTCTTCCCAGGCAGCTCCCAGGCAATGTAAGCACTATGGGGAAGTTAGGGCCAGGCCATTCTTTCCCAGTGCTGGATTCCAGTAACAGACCTTGCGCTCCCTCTTGGCCGGGCCAAGTCTTTTTCAGAATTGCAGTGCAGCCCGAGGCTCTTATCCAATTGCTCCCTCTCTCTCTCCCTCCCTCCCTCCTTCCTTACCTTCCTTCCTGCCTGCCAGTCTGCCTGCCAAGGCTTTATCGGAATTGCGCTGCAGCCTGAGGTTCTCATCCAGCCAACCTACCTTCCTTCCTTCCTTCCTTCCCCTCAAATATATCAGTATGGTTTAAGACTCCTCCCACCTACTTGATAGGAATTTCCTTTTTATTTCTAATTCTGTCTCATCACCTGCTTCCTGGAGAACCTGAACTGACACAGCATGCAAAGTACTGAGCATAGAATGAAGGTTCTGGAAATACTAGCTGTTACTGTTATCATTACTATGATCTGATTAATGACTCAACTAACAGCAGAAACTCTTGGAGGCATCTACCATCATGACAATCAGATCCAAGGGTCTTCAGCAGAATCTCAGCCCTTGCCTATCGCATATCCAGTTCTCTGCCCCTGGGACAACGTTCCAAGCAGAAAATCAATTCTTTTTCCTAATGCTTCACTGTGCAGTGAGAATTTCAAAACCTCTGAATGATTTCGGGAAAAAGCATTGAGAACTTCAGAATCAACTGGAATAGTGGATGTCCACCACCTTTCATCTTAGGAAGAACAAACACCATAGTCCTGAAGAGCCTTCTTAAAACAAGTCTCAGTGACAGCCACATTCATTAAACAAAGCCCTTCTGAGGAAGTTTTGTGTCAAGTCATTATTGTCCACATAATATGTGTATTACTGGATGCATCTGAGCCATTTATTAGTCTTGGAGAGAAAAATGATAGTCAAGGCAGCAAGGGAAAGACAGAAGAGTCTGTGAAAACACTTGTCAGCCTGCAGCCCTAAGCCATGTCCACCAGAGCGCATAAAACACTTTTTAGTGACAGGTCACACAAATGTTGCAGGGAACCCTGTTATGATGACAGCTATAAACTCAATTCTCCTGAGATCTAAGATGCTGGTTCCAATTCAGTGACCACAGACTTGGCAGAGGCGCCATCAACAATATGATAATGGCTTGTGAAAGAGGTTTTATTGATGCTGTGCTTATCACAGCAGAGAAAGAGCTGGCAATCAGCAGCAATTAGGTGCTTAATAAAACTGCTTTGGAGACACTGCTGCTGAAAAGACTGCTGAAAAGGCGGCACAAAGAACTCAGCAATCAATCTCAATGAAGTCCATGGCTGTGTTTCTTTTTGAAAGCACTTCTTTCATCAAAATAACTATGTGACTTTGGCTCCATCTAAAGGAAGGGGAATCAACTTTGATCTGCTGACACACATAGAAGGCATTGGTGTGATAACCACCTAAGCAGACCCTGGCACACTCAGAGGTCCAGGGCAAGACCAGGGAAAGGGGAGAAGAGGCCAATCTGAGAGATGGCAGTAGGTCTCTCAATTCACAAAGTTGACCATGACTGAGTTCTGTAGTGTAATTTGTATGTTGCTAATGAAAACAACCTGAAAGGGAAGAGTCCATACTCATCACCTTTGGGGAAGGAGAAACTATATTGATTTACTGGAAGAAAACAAATGGGGTTGTAATTACCTGCCTCTAATACAAATTACTCTATCGTGTAAATGTTTTTGCTACTCTATACAAATTATTTTTTGCTACTCTATATACATTATTGTGTATTGTTTTTGCTACTGTAGAATATATATTGACCTAGAATGGACTTGGCAACACTTTTGTTTCCCTTATGCCAAGTCCATTCTAGGTCAATAAATATTCTATAGTAGCAAAAACATTGACTTGAGAATGTGACTGATGTGGGCCTGAGGCACGGGTCTGATCCTTGCCAAGCTACGTGACCACAGGAAGGCTACATCTCTCTCAGAAACTCCGTTTCCTCAATCAGAAAATAGGAATAAGATAACTACCCAACAGTGTTTGTCAGTCAAAATACCATCATGTATGTGAGAGACTGTATTTAGTCTGTTCTCACACTGCTAATAATGACATACCTGAGGCTGGGTAATTTATAAAGAAAAAGAGGTTTAATGGACTCACAGTTCCACATGGCTGGAAAGGCCTCACAATCACAGTGGAAGGTGAAAGCCATGTCTTAAATGGCAGCAGACAAGAGAGAATGAGAGTGAAGCGAAAGAGGAAACCCCTTATAAAATCATCAGATCTCGTGAGACTTATTCACCACCATGAGAACAGTACAGTGGAAACTATCCCATGATTCAATTATCTCCCACTATGTCCCTCCCACAACACATAGGAATTATGGGAGCTACAATTCAAGGTGAGATTTGGCCAAACCATATCAGAGGCCTTAGCATCTTGTCCCAATAGATTACTTAAAATCAATCACAATCTGTCATGTAACATGTGATAGTTATACAACCCAGAGAACAAAACTGCTGCCCTTATGTTTATCATCTGCCTTAAGACTAATAAGAAAGAATTTTTTAAAAATACTTAAAAGCAAGTTAGAAAATCTCACTTTAACATTAAGGAGTTTTGGCAGTATCATAAAGAGGTACTAGATACCGTGACTGGGTAACTTCATTATGATAATAGCTAATATTTCATTAAGTATTTTATTAAGTTCTGAGCATTATTCTAAGTACTTTATATTACTTCATTTAATCCTCAGAATCACTCTATGAGGTAGAAAACATTATTTTTTCACTTTACAGATTAGAAAACTGAGGCACAGAGAAGTCTAGTAATTTGAACAAGGTCATGCAAATCACAAGTTATAAAGGATAGATTCAGATGCAAGCAATCTGATTTCCAGCCCTATATTCTAACTGCCAAAGATGGATATTCTGAGACTGGCAAAACTGTATTTCCTGACCTAGGAGCTGTTTGCCATATAGTATTTTATTCATGTGGCTCTGAATCTGTTATATTTTCTTAAAAAACATTTCTAAGTGATAATATTAGTAGCTAAAATTTTGCCACTTGATGCTTTGACCAAAAATTGGGCACTGGATGTATTTTGCATATCGTGTGTTTTGCAACCATAGGCGCAGAATGAAGGCTCTGTAATGTTGTAATAATATCCGTTACAGTTGTTTATGACAGTGGCTCAGAAGGTAGTAGAAATTATATTTTTGATTTGTGGTAGGAGGTGCTGTTGTTTTCCAGATTCCGTTAGAAAAAAAATGGGGAAATCGTATAAGCAAAGTTGTTATTTTGGCATTCTGAATCCCCCCTTTAGCTGTATTTTTCTCAAAATCTATTTGTTTCTCTCTTCATTATTTGTCTCCTAAATTACCTTTCTCTAATCCTTACTCTTTATCTCTTTCTCCTCTTTATCTCATCCCTTTTCCTGCTTGGCCCCATACCTGTACCCTACTAGTTCCCTTCTCCTTGCCTCCCTCTCCTAATATCAAATTGGAGAGCACTTCTTACTGCTTTTATTTATTGAATATTATGATGCATAATCTTTATTAAAAATGGTTGAATGGATTTAAGAGGCTGAATGAATTGAATATTAGGATATATTGCATAATCTTTATTAAAAATGGTTGAATGGACTTTTGGAGTGAATCATCTTCACTCCAGAAATCATCTCCCCTAGCTGAGTTTTCGCTCAGTTAGGTGTACTTTGGTAGACTTTTATTTTAGTAACTGCATGGTTCTCAGTTAATAAAAGCTTCTGTAACTCATGGAAGTTTAGGACTGGAAGGTAAGAAGAAAATGAGGTATGGGTGTATATATTGCCCAAAGTTCTCCCCTTTATCTTCATATGCCTCTTGCTTTTTTTCTCTTGCAGACACCCAACACAGAAAGCACATGTCAGGGGTGTTTCTTGGCCTATAGCTCATATAAAGGTTAATCTTGCTATAGTCAAAGAGATCTACTACAAGGGCATAGGGCATATACTCAGAGAGACCTCACCACTTAAGCAAGAATGTGTCCTCAGAGGCTAAAAGTAGCTAGGAAGATTATCCCCTAAGCCCAGGATCTTTAGGTTTGATCCCCAAAACTAATTCAGTCTTTACAAATTTGTATTTGCATTTAATTTGTGAACATGACCCTAAAATATGATTACCAGACAGAAAAGTATATAAAAAATCCCATGCTCTCTGCTAAAGAGACACTTGCATTTTTTAATTCAATAGCTGTATATGAATCCCTCCTCAGTGTGCAATGTGGTGTGTGCCATCCCCCAACCCCCCAAATAAGTACAGTGTACTCCAGCTCTTCCCTTATCAACATGGTTCAGATCAGATTCTCCAAATTCTATAGGGCCCTGCCTGCCTCTGGACCTTGAGAAGCTAGACTTATCACAAGTAGCTATTATAATAACCCTGGCCGCCGTGTCCCCAACTTCACCTTAGAAGACTTCCTTTCCTCTCTGGGAGAGTCCAGTCAGTACCTTGAACAGTTCCATGGCTTCTGATGGGGAGTATCATATACCTGTTGGTTTGTTCTGTAAGTAGGCTGGGATCCCTCATTCTTGATTTCTTTCTCTGGTCCTGCTAACACTATTTCTTCTTCCTCCTCATCACTCTCTTCACAATAGGAATCAAATGCATCAGCATAGTATTCTTCAGCCACAAGTGGGTCTTCTGGGATCTCTGAAATAATGAACAAACCACAGTCAGATACTACCAGTTATTAAAATTATCATGAGGTAAGAATACCCTATCTTTTCACAGGGATGTATATTTTGCTTGCACTAACAAAGCTTCCATGGAATGTAGAGCTGACTCTCAGCTTCCTGAAAGTATTTGGTTGAATGTAATAAACACTCAGCAACATAAAACCAGTGGAGAAAAGGAGGAACATTTCCATTAGCAACTACCTTTTGAAGGTAAGAAAAAAATCATGAAACAAGAATAAATAATACGCTTTAACATCTTGACATTTAGAGGCATGAATCCTTATTAAAAATGAGGAAATTTAGGAGCAAACGTCGGACAAGATGTCCTGGCTGAAGGGTCCTGTTACACAACACACATAAAGTTTTTAGCGTAGGTAGTTGGAGCAAAACTACTGCAGCATTTTTCCTAGATATTTCTTTCTTTTTTTTTTTTTTTAATGTTACTGCTAAGACCAAACAAGATGACTAGGATATACAGCAGCAGCATTCTGGCAAGCTGGGAAAAACACAATTCTTTTCTAACAGGTAATGATGGCTTTTGAGATGGAGTTCACTCTGGTGGGTCCTATTTACTCAACCTTACATTCAGCACTTATTTTAAAAAAGAATACCCACTTAAGCTGATGACAATAAGCATCTACCCAAGTTACTTGATGCAACATTGTTAGTAACTAGAATAAAGTTGGTGTTTCTAACAATCTTCAGTGAAGAAAGGCCATGACTGGATCACAATAAAGCATAACAATATAAACTCTTATTTACTAATGGGGGCCTAGAAATAAAGAACTACCCAAAGAACTACCCTTGGGTCGGGGGAGGAGAAAATTATAATACTCAACTGCAGCAAAACAGTAGGCACTTTAGACTTTGCACCATACTCAGACTTAAAAATAAAATTTGTATTCTAAATTATAACACATTATTTTTCAATCTATTGTTGCTATTTCCTGTCTAGTGGGAAAAATATGAAATTTGGGGTCAGAAAATCAAGGCTGGAATCTAGCTCTTCCCCCTTTTAGATGAAAATTTGTGCAAGAGACTTAAACTCACAGAGCTCCAATTTCTGTGATAAAATTGACATAAGTGTAATCTAGTAGAGTGGCTACTGAGATTTAGTAATAGAATTCTCATGAAAGCATCGGTATTCAGGGAAGTTTCATACAAATGCTCACTCAATTTCCATGTCTGTAAAAACGGGCTTTTCATTAAATGAGTTCAGAATCCTTTCAAAGTAAAATACTTAATGGATTTAGAATTCCCTGGAAATAGAAGATGTTAAAATGTGTTTGTTATCTATGGTTTTGCACTAAAACATAAAAGGCTGCTGTACAGTAAAATAAAAATTAGTCAGCTCAAAAGACAAAAATTACATATATTCAAAACTGCCTTTGCCAGTTCCTTAGAAAGCAGTGTACTAGGGATCTCATACCTTCTCTCAGCAATTTCAACACAGCGTATTTTTTTTTTTTTTCAGATCAGTTCAGATCACTGATTTTCAGCTGAGCATCAGATGAGATAGAATACTGTTATGGAGAAGCCATAGTTTTAATTTTTTATTTATATTGAAATAATATATATTATTTTATTAAATATGGCTTCTAGTCATTATATCAGGAAGACACCTGCACGTGTCTGTATGTACACACATATATATAACATACCTATACACGTATGTAGATGCATATAGAACGTCAATACTTTTTGCGTACAAGTGGTTTTTGGTTACATGGGTGACTTTTGCAGTGGTAAGGTCTGAGATTTTAGTGACCCTCACCCGAGTAGTATACACTGTACCCAATATGCAGTTTTTTATCCCTTACCTCCCTCCCACCCTCCTTCTCTCTGAGTCTCCAAAGTCCATTATACCACTCTGCATGCCTCTGTGGACCCATAGCTTAGCTCCCACTTATAAGTGAGAACATACGGTATTCAGTTTTCCATTCCTGAGTTACTTCACTTAGAATAATGGCCTCCAGCTCCATCCAAGTTGCTGCAAAAGACAGTATTTCATTCTTTTTTTAATGGCTGAGTAGTATTCCATGGTGTACATATGCCACATTTTCTTTATTCACTTGTCAGTGACGGGCAGTTATGTTGGTTCCATATCCTTGCAATTGTGAATTGTGTTGTGATAAACATAAACGCGCAGGTATCTTTTTGCTATAATGACTAGAAGTCATGTTTAATAACAATCTTCATTTTACTTACACTGAGAATGACAAGACGATCATAGCATGAGAAGTGTATGAAAACTAAAATCCCTTGAGAGATCTCCTGTTCTGCCATCAAGTAGGGGCATATGCTTGCTGAGTGGAATGAAAGACAGAACCATATGATGTCTACCTTCTCTTGCCCACCCTCAACTCTCTCTGAATCTCTGTGTCTTTCTCTGAGCTGTCCATTCTCTCTTTCCCCACTCTCTTCTACTTCCTCTCTCTCTCCTTGAGTCTCTTTGTCCCTTTGACAGTTATTCATTCTCTCACTCATTCATATTTTTCCCTTTTGCTCTCCCATTTTTCCTTTATCTTCATTCCTCCTTGTCCACTCCCTTGGCTTTCAAACTATGACACAGTAAGAAATATCATTTACATTGGTTGCCCAGTGCACAGAAATGTGCTTATATATGTATGTATGTAAATATCTTTATAGTTGAAACAAAAGTTTCATATATCAAGACCTACTTACCCAAACTACATATGATACACTCTGGTGTTTTTCATTCTGTTCAATCATTTTTTTATGCTGGTTGCAACTCACTAAACTGACCTCTCAACCTGCAGCTTGAAAAACACCCCAACCTAGCTAGAGAGACCAACATTCAGAAACACTCCTTTAGAATGCTGGCTTTGGCATAAAAACAAAATCTGCATTTAAATCAAGCCTCTAGCAATAGCTCTGTAACACTGTTATTTAAGCTTTCTGCACTTCAGTTTTCTCATCTATAAAATAAAGATGATAATATTGGTCCCATGGAATTGTTGGAAACATTCCATAGTACAATGGATGCAAAGTATGTATCAAACAAATGTTAGTTACTATTGGAAATAGTAAGGCAAACACTCAGTAGTTTGCCTGTAATATTCAACACCAGGAAGAAGTAACAGTCATGCATCACTTAACAATGAGGATATGTTCTGAGGAATACGTCATTCGGTGATTTCATCATTGCATGAACATCAAAGACTGCACTGATTACAAACCCAGACAGTATAACCTACTCCACATCCATGTTTATGTGGTATGGCCTATTGCTCTTAGGCTACAGCCCTGGACAGCAGGTTACTACACCGAATACTGTAGACAACTGTAACACAGTGGTAAGTATTTGTGTATCTTAACATTAAAAATGTACAGTAAAAATGTAAAAGATTTTTTAAATGGCACATCTGTACAGGGCAGTTGTCATGAATGGGCTTGCGGGACCGGAAGTTGCCCTGGGTGAGTCAGTGAGTGAGTGCTGAGTGCATGTGAAGGCCTAGAACATTACTGTACACTACTACAGACTTTATAAACACTGGACACTTAGGCTACACGACATTTATAAAAAACGTTTTCCTTTCTTCAATAATAAATTAAACAGCTTACTCTAAGTTTTTTAAACTTCTTGACTTTATCGTAATAACACTTAGCTTAAAACACAAACACATTGAACAGCTGTACGAAAACATTTTCTTTTTTTTTACTTCTCTCCTAACTAGGATATAGTCAATAAGCATTTTTTCTTTCTTTTCCTTTTTCAACTATTTTGTTGAAAATGAAGACACAAACACACACATTAGCCTACTGCTACACAGCGTCAGGATCACTGATACCACTGTCTTCCACCTCCACATCTTGTCCCACTAGAAGGTCTCTAGGGGCAGTAACACACATGGAGCCTCCATCTACTGTGATAATAGTGCCTTCTTCTGAAATACCTCCTAAAGGACCTGCCCAAGGCAGTTTTACAGTTAATTTTTTTTTAATAAGTAGAAGGAGTACACTTTAAAATTATGATAAAAAGTATAGCAGGCCAGGCATGGTGGCTCACTCCTATAATCCCAGCACTTTGGCTGGCCGAGGAGGGCAGATCACCAGAGGTCAGGAGTTCAAGAACAGCCTGGGCAACATGGAGAAACCCAATCTTTACCAAAAATACAAAAAATTAGCTGGGTGTGGTGGTGCACACTTGTGGTCCTGGCTAACTGGGAGGCTGAAGTGGGAGGATTACTTGAGCCTGGAAAGTGGAGGTTGCAGTGAGCCGAGATCGTGCCACTGCACTCCAGACTGGGTGACAGAGTGAGAACACACCTCGGAAAAAAAAAAAAAGTATAGTAAATACATAAAGTAGTAACAGTCATTTGTTATCACTATACTGTACATAATTATATGCATGACACTTTTATATGACTGGCAGTGTAGTAGGTTTATTTACCCTGCATCTCCACAAATATGTGAGTGGCTACATTGTTCTGCAATGTTATGATGGCTATGATAGCACTAGGTCTTGGGAATTTTTCAGCTTCATTAATGGGACCACCACTGTACATGCAGTCTGTCATTGACTAAAAGATTGTTATGCAGTGTATGACTGTATTAGGCAATTGCAAATATATACCCAAGTTTAAAATATTTATTTTAAATAGAAAAACTTCTCAAAATTCATACTGAACCCAACTGAAATGGGCAATATGGAATCTAGACTCTCTCTGGTTTCCTTTCTGCTGGACTCCACAGGAATCCTTAGGCAATTCACCACACTGTTCACCTCCCACTGTCCTTCCTGTCCACTGGTTCCGTCTAGGTTTCCTTCAAGCAGCTCAGGAGAAACCTCTGCAAGGGGGTTTGACAAATATGTTCTGTAAAGGGCTACATAGTAAAAAGTTTTAGGCTTTACAGATTACATGGTCTCTGTCACACAACTACCCAACTCTGCCTTTGTAGTGTGAAAACAGACAATACATAAATGAATTAGTGTGGCTATGTCCCAATAAA